GTATTACTAGAGTTATGGCAGTGACAGCTTGTCATATGCTTTGCAGAGAAAGTCATTAGCCAAATGGAAATTTAGGTCAGCTAATAGTTATGAATGATATTTAGGGAATCACTGAAATTATTGAAACTGTGCTTCATATTTCATCATGCAAATGCCAAACTTGATTCCTCATTCATTTCTTTACAGTCATGTTCCCAAACTTACCTGAATATGCAACCAGTGACGATCTATCATTTAATAAAGCTTTCCTCCCCCACAGTTCTGATTCTCAGCAATCAAGGTAAAACACTGCATCTCATGTCTTTAAATAAACTCTCACTCTCTGACATATACAAATAAATATTTATGCATATTAAGTATACATAAAGACATCTCACAGAGACTAAATAAATGAAAGTTTAAGTGCTTATAACTTCTTTCCTCTCATGCCTTTGAAATAAAATGTATGATCTGTGCTGCATAAAAGGGGGAAGATACAAATAGCAGAATAGCCCAGATTGCCTCATAGCTTCGTTGGGGGGACCACTCAGTGAAGGGAGTTAGACAATTAAGAAAGAGAGATGAACTAGCATAGATGGGAGAAGAAGTTAGGAAAAATTAAATGGACAAAAAAGTAATTAATAGAAGTTTTGATGAGGGTTGTGTGCTATACTTTCTTCTATGTAATATTCTTTAAGAAAACCTGAATTAAAGAGTTCCTATAATCTTCAGGATTTTCAGAGTCAGAATGATTGTTCTTTTACATGTTTTCCTATGCTCAAATTAGCCTTGACTGAAGAAAAAGACCACCTTGTATTCTTTGAGATACATGCATATTTATATGTATGTGTGTATATATATATATATATATATATATATACACACACACACATTAATAGATTTGAATGCCTAGTATGTTAGAATAGTTTTATGTGCTTTGATTTTAAGAAAAAAGAATAATGAATAAAGTTATATGACTATTATTCTCTCAAAGTATAGCCTAGGATCAGTGCAAAGGCTTTCTGATGATTTCAACCTGTCTGTAACTGATTTTTGCAAAATTCTGGCTTTTGGTTACTTTGTTTTCCATTAAAAAATGATACTGTTCTTCTCTTTTCCTCAGTTAATTCATTCCCACAGTCAGGTTCTCGAACTGTTTACTAATAATAGCCCGCAGCTTTATACTCTCAAGTTTAAGCTTCCAACTCTCCATGTACAACCTTTTATCTTTCAGTTCACTCTCTCGAGTGTCCCGATTACAGTAATTCTCTGACTCCATCAAAACCTCCAGTTTATTGCTCCTACCATTTTTCCATTTTTCCTCAACCCCAGTTTTCCTCAACCTGCTCCTTATCTGACTTGTCAAAACAAATCAGTCATTATTACTCCTGTGTGTGGACCCTCTACATTGTCCTTTATTTCCCTCTGTTACATTTTCTGAGAAAAATCCCAACTCCGGTTTAACCTGACATTGTATTCCACAGCTGCTTGGAGAAATACCTACAAGCAGGCTCAAAGTCAGTTTTGATAACAGACCTTAAATGGGTCTTTAGTACTTCCAGTCAGTCCTACTACCTTCTCCAGGATGAGTACTTAACACCTTCCTTCCTGTCTGCAAATTATCAACAGTCTTCTCCTACCATCCTCTCTACAGATGACCTTCATTCCTATTTTACTCAGCAAATGAAAGTGGTTAGAAGAGACATTCTCTTTATCCTCTTGCCATCAGATTCAGTTCTTCACATGCAATACCTCTAATTCTTCCCTTAGCAGTAAGTTTTATGAAGGTCTTTTGCTCTGTTTCTTTTGTTCGTGTTGTTTCTTACTCTGTCCCCAGCACCTAGAACAATGATGGGGATATAATAGCCCGTAAGTAACTGTTGAATGAATTCAGTCTAATCTCTGAGGCCCTCTACAACTATGATACTGTCCTTCAATAGCTATTATTGTATTCTTTGTCTCAACTTTTTAGTACCTACAACAGTGCCAACATATAGTATATCTTTACCAAATTATCTCAGTAACACTTGCTAATAGCAAATTTAATTATGTTCTGTCCATCTTTCTCGGATATTTTCTAATCATGGTTTAAGAGACTTGCAAAACCTAAAGGTTGATCTTCAACCAAAAAAATTCAACAGAATGCATTCTATTAGAATTCTAACATAGCCAAGGTCAATAATTATGCTTATTTGTAATTGATTTTGAAGGAAGTGCTCCGTTTTCCAAAAGCTTTATTGTTTAATTTTATATCTACGAAACTGTAGGCTCACAAGAGACAAATAAAAACAAAAGCATACTAAATAAGTTCCATTAGAATCAATCACTTTGGTCCCAAGGGGTCAGCTTACTCTTTGTAGAGTTCTTCTTACTTGCAAATAGACACGACTTTTTTTTTCAGCTTTAAGAGGCACAAATGGAAGCTCATAAATCACAAAATTATCTGGATTCCCAAATTCAAGTTTGGGTCCATAACTCTGGGTGTTTTATAGTCTTTAAACTGTCATCTGTTTATGAACATCATAGCATAAGATTAAACTTTTTGTAGTTGATTTCTCACTGTAGTAAACTTTCTCATCTCTACGCTTGGCAGTTTCTGACTCTGATTTCACTCTCTATTAAGTTCATTGATGAAATAGCAGAAAAAGAACAATCTGCCAGACCATCTTAATGTTTATTGACAGAAATTGTTCAGATTTTACTCAATAACAATTTCTAATTTTCTTGTTTTCATCATCCATTTACAGTCTAAAATGTTACAGACAATTGACATCATGTTACTTTGCACATAAAAGAGGAAAGGTGTACATTCAATAAACATCTTAAACCAAGACTCTTGGTTTAATTTACACATATACGTAAATGAAATCTCTGTGTTGAAAACAAAATGAGTTCTTGGAAACCATGTCAAAAACTCATATTCATAAATTGGCTCATATTTTCTTCATTAACAATATTGTGTTGGTAAGTTCTGTGTTTTCTCAAGGCCTTGACATAAATCACAGACATAACCAACTGTGGCAAATAAAAACAAAGATAGGCCCCAGTCCTGCTGTCTAAGGCACGTAGAATGCATTTACATTTTGTTCCATATAATAGTTACTTTCATATTTGAAGGGCACTAAAATGTACTGTCACCTGAATATTCTTTGCTCCAAATTAATAAAAATCCTCACATCCTTTCTATGCTGTTCTATCCTTTCATATGCTAAGATTTTATTCATCCCTGAAGATTCCAGACAGTATTGCTATCTTGTTAAAAATTTTTTACCTCCAAAAAGTAGAAAAGTAATAGTAGCCTCTGCTGTGCTTTTCATTGGTGCAACCCTAGAGTAGACCTCAATTCCCCTCTGACTTGGTATTACAACTCGTGGTATCTTTGTGCCTGCCCTTAAGACAGAGACTTCATCTCCTCATACTTTTTCAGGGCTTAGCAGGGAATGTAGGGCACACAGTCGGTACTTAGCAGTGTATTCTAAATGGAATCAAGTTAAATTCAAGTATATTCTAAAATCAATAAAACTGAAACATTGACTTTAATAGGAAGAGACAACTCAGGTCTAGTTCTGACTTTTTTGCCTATGTGTAATATTTTGATAAGCTAGTCATAAATTAGCATTTTGGGCATTTGGATCATTTCCTTTTTATTTTTCCTAGGAACATACATTCATTCTTTGTAGATAAGATTAGAAATACAAATGAGCAAAAAGGAAAATAATAAAACCATCTGAAATCCTACCACCCAAGGGTAACTGCAATTAACATTCTGTGTGTATCTTTCAGGTATTGTTCCCAGGGTACTTCCCCATGGGGTTCTCAAAGGAGAGAATAAGAGAAATGACAGACTAAGTTAAAATAGTTCAAGGCAAAGTGCTGTCAATTAGTCTGAAGCTACCATCTTGGTGATACACATGAAAAGAGGATTTAAAAAATTTAATTAGTATTTATTCCATCTTATCTCGTACCGATGTTTTCCATTGACCATATATACGCAGTAAAAAGAGTCAGCTCAAGACTCTAATTTACTTTTATATTATTCTCACTATTATTCCAAAAGCCCAATTAGAAATATAGAATAATTTGTCTAAATGTCTTTAAATTTAAATTGTCCAGTTAATTTAGGTTTAATGTCCAGTACCATCAAGTAATATGTCATAAAATTAATCACACATTGATGTTTTCTATTTTTCGTTTTGGCAATTAGCATCTTATGTTATTTAAAGAAGAAAATTCAATAGAATTTAAAAGTGCATTAGAATTAAAAGTAATGAAAAACATTTAGGTAGTATTGCCTAAGATATTTAACTCATATTTTTTAGGTATTGTATATATTTTACCTGCAATTTTAAATCTTGTCAGGACTCTAGAGTAAATATTACTTGGTGATTAATAAGATTGAATGCTATATATTTTAATACAGTCACTAATTTCTCCATTGATCCCTCTAGATAATATGTGGTGTAGTCAAGTGCTAATTTTTAAGAAACTTGCTCATACATAGAATATATGAAAATGCTTGCATACAATTCAGATCTGTTAATGTGAAAGCTTTAAATTGTTTCAGATCACTTGACCAAGTTTCCCTGCTTTCCTCTGTAAATAATAGGCTTAATCTTCCACTGATCTTACGTCATATACTTATGTCCTGATCCACGGTTTTTATCTACCTCCTCTCTCACAGATATTCTAATGAGCATTGTTTTTCTAAAGGGACAGCTACTTGCCTTGGAATGAATATTCAGAGTTCTCTCTTCCCTCATTGTCAAGTAGCAATAAATGATTCTCCTTGAAAGGAGAGAAAAGAAGATAATCCAGATTGCAAAGATTGAGGAGGGAATTTATGGTAAGAAAGTGGGTAGAGTAGGTTCCTATCAGGATTTAAAAGAAGTTGTTTAGAAAGAGAATAATTACAATGGTGGGATCAGGTTTGGGGGGAACCATGGCTAAACTGTCACCACTCCTAAGCCCTGGGGATAGGAGGATAGAATAGTTACAGGAACCCTTTTAGTCGAGGTGGGAGTTGGAAGAATGGATACTGTACTTGCATCCTCCCTTTACCCTCTAGTTTCCTCGTTGCCAGACCTCAGGGAGACCTGAAGCCTTGGGAAACCATTGAAGTAATACATTCACAGTGGAGAAGGATGAAGACTAGATCTGAAAGGCAAACAGAAAACAATTAGGGGAGTTAGTAAACATACAATTAAAAACGCTTGTCGCTAAAAAGTGAATTAAGATCAAGAAAAAATGGTTTCTGATTTTACTATAAGAGAAAGTAGTACATATTTTTGAATAAAAGAGATGTCATAAATTGAAGCAGATTGAAGAAAATGTGGAGAAAGAGAATAGTTGAGGAAACAACTTTAAAGTCAGGAACTGCCACATCAATGACAAACGAGTCCAAGATGATCAAGGCAATAGGGAATATGTATGTATGTGTGTGTGTGTGTGTGTGTGTGTGTATATATATATACATATACACACACACACACACACACACACATATATACGTATACATATTATATATATTTAGTGTCAACCTTTAACAAAACTCAGCGATAACTTCCACTGCACTTTATATAAACATAATAAACCCTCTCTCTGTCCATTCCCAATTTCTTTCTTGTATTAAACTACTTATGAAAGCAGGTTGTCTCCTTGATGGAACAATTTAAAGTGAGATTTGTATGTTTAATTCAGCAAATATATTGAACAACTATTATATATAAGACAATGATGTGTAACACAAGAATAAATAGAGCAGGTCCCTGATCTCTAAGGGTTAAAAATAACCTAAAGGAATACAACATGTAAAACCATTAGAATTTAAATTACTCTGTGTAAGCACAGTATGGTAAGAGGAAAGTCTTTAGGAGACTACATAGAACAGAGAGTAATGAATTTTGAAGAAGACAATGAAAAAGGTCTCATAGAGAAAGTTCTATCTGAGATGTGCTTTTAAAAACAGTTAAGATTTCAACTGGTAGTGAACAGCGTAAACACATTGTAGACAAAGGGAATAAGTAGCAAAGAACAAGCAAAAGTAAGGAAATGTGATAATGGATGTTTAGTGTAGGAATGGTGAGAAAGTTCAGTGCAATGAGCATGGGGTGCATAGCCAGAGGATGTGGCATATAGCCCTCATTTCCTATTTAATCTCCATTTCTTTGTTTCTTTACTAACAGGACTGATTTATTCATGGAAGAAATATCCCCAAACTAGTAGTAAGATTTGCCAGCGACTTTGCAGTAGTACAGGTGTCCACGTAATTAAGTTCTAGTTGAATTTTTGGGTAAGCTAGAGGCAAGGATTTTTTCAAAGATGGATGATGTCATTTAGGCACTTTTTGACCTTTGCCTTTTCCTTTCCTCCTTCCTGGAATGCAAATATGAAGGGTAGAACTTTAGCTGCTCTCTTATGACCATGAGGTAATAGGTATATCCTACAGAAGGCTAACTGTAAGAACCGAAGAATCCTAAGTCCTGATTGTACAGTGGACTTACACCACTCCCTGACCCCATGCTGTATTTCTGTATATTCTTTGGAAAGAGAATTCCTTGTCTTGGTTGGCTACTTTTTTGTAGATCTCTGTTCTCACAACTGAATGTAACTTTTAACTGATAAATATAGAGATCAGGTTGAAAAGATGCCAGTTATAGTGAGCTCATACTGTGCCTAACTCAGTTCCTTCTACATTATAAACTAATTAATGATATTTCAAATTGTATTTATCACATGAATGAATTAATACAACAGTTAATGAATTAATTAATCTATAGGGGTGGTCCCTCCCACAAAACCTTAGTGCCATAGGTAGAAAAAAGAATAAGAAAAATCATTCTGATACCTTAAAAGAGGTTGTAGTGAATAAAGAGGTGAATATGTTTAAGGTGGGTTTAATTCACTCCACAAGAACTATATTAAGTGAATATAGTTATTCTTGAGTTATTCTTTTAAGATGAATAGTGGGGAGGGAAACTGCTACATTCTAGGTATTTACGTGATAGCAGCTAGATAAGACACTGGTCTGATCTTGAATGACATTAAATGCTTTTATGATATGTTATTAAGATGATGATTCCTCCCATTTTTAAAGTCCTCTAACCTTCCCTTGTTAAAACTTACTCCAAAGTTTAACAGCTCACACTGTCAGGAATGTTTTCTTTGTGTCTAACTGACATCTTGCACTTTTTAGAGGACACAGAGAAAAATATGCACCTGTTTTCTGAATAAAAATCCTAACAAAGAACAAAGTTACAGCTCTTAGGAAAAACAGCTAAAAATTATGATGTGACTAAGAAAATTATTTATCCCAAATATTTTTTAAAAACATAGCAAATGATTGGAAGTCAGTCACCTTAAAAATCAGTTGAAACAGCGTCACTCTATGATCTTGTATCATTGTTACTGAATTCTTATGCAGAAAGTACTGTTACATACTAACATAATCCAATTAAGCATCTATCAACTGTCTAAAATGGATATGTGGAATATTAAGTAAAAAACTGATCTTTACTAATGTAATCATAGAACTTCATACTGACATCTTTTAAAAATACACTGAAATAAACATCATTATGCTTATATATGTACATATATACTACATATAAAGATATACATGTATAATGTAAACTAAGTTATTTACATAGGAAATATATATTAAATGCCTTCAAGTATAGGACACTTTACCAGCTTGTATGGTTGCTATAAAGAGAAAACAGTTGTAATTCAATACAGTTATTTGTATAGTTGGAGCAATTTCATAAAACACTGAAATATATCTGAGAAGTCAAGAGACCATATCTGCAAATGTAGTGTATTGTGAAATGATAACTAATTTTCCTTGTAAGAATGGGAGGCTAATGTACTCTGCACAAATATGGCATGATACATTTTCACTAAATAAAATATTTAAAGCACTCAGGACAGAGCCTGGTCTGAAGTTGTTACTAAAAATTATGTGTTAATTGCACTTTCCATTAGTGTCCCCACACATTTCCAGTTACAAATAGCAAGTGATGTTAATGCTTTATCTTTTTAAAACATGTCTTTTGTCATTCCACTTCTGTAATCAAGAGCTTATTTGCTCATTTATTTTTTGTTCTCAAAAAGTGTTGGGCCAGACCCCACGACTCTCCATATTCTGCTCTTCCCCAGCTATCTAAACATTACCTCTTCCTTTTCTCGTATTTGCCCTTCAATCCTGTCTTCATGAATGCCACATTCATTTACACTTCTCAACAATTACTCCTGCTATTTCTGATACCTGAAATGCTTTCCATCTATAAAATTCACTTATCAGGTCTTACTGTTAATCTTGCCAGTCACAGTTTCTACAACTGTGTTACTACCTTTATTAAATATCACATTCTGCACAAACTCTTCCATCTTGGGCTCAGTGTTTTACTTGGAATTACCACCATAAAACCTAATATTTTATTGATTATTAAATACATTAAAAGGATTTGAGATGAAGAGAAAAACAGATGAAACGGTAACGTATTTCCCAGTATGATTTTTAAAGTTTTCACGAATAGAAGGAAATAGATGAGACCCTAGGTCATTCATTCAGATTTAGCAAACATTAATTGAGTACTAATTTGTGCCAGTCACTATTCCAGATCCTTGAGATTAAAATAGTTTTTCATGGCAGGGAGATGAGGTGGGGAAGAAGATTCCTATGTGTGTGTGATTTATGTTTGTAAATCTTATGTCTAATGAGAGGAGAGAAGTATTTACTAGTATGTATCAGAATGAGTAGATCATCTAGTAAATTACAAAGGAGAAGTAGTATGATGGAGGAAAAAAGGAGCAAAGTAGGGTATGGGAAACCGTATCCTGGTTGAGAAGTTTGAGCATTGAGTGGGAATTATTTACAAAGTATGGATAGAATAAACAACTCTTTTAAGGAACTGGACTATAGAAGCAAAGAGATAGGACACTAGTCAGAAAGGAGGGCAAATCTCAAGAGAATATATTAGTTGTTAATTTAAGTTGGGAAATAACTGAACATATGGGCTACTTTCAGTTGTCAGTGGGAAGCAGAGACAGGAGAACAGGATGATTAGTTGTACAGTGAGCAAAGAATATAATGGGAGCTGACCACATGAGAAAAAACAGCTATTTGGGATTGCTTTGTGATAAACAGAGTGTGAGTTTCCCCCCTCGATTTGATCTCATCAATATGTTGTTCATGTGCCTGGAAATTCTATATTTTTTCTCCTTTATTATGTTATAAAAGGTTAGTATAAGATAAATGAAGGAAATGAGTCTGTACAACATTATTGGGGTCTGTTGGTTTCAGAGAACTTGTTAAAGTAATGGGGAGCTACAAGGACACCTGAATATTTTTTTTTCCAAAGCGAGGATTTTGAACACTTAAAAGCCTAGAAAATGTGAGATAAATTGGGAGGCAAAACCAAATTCACTGTGCAGAACAATGTGAATGAAAGTTTTCCTATAATGAAACAGAGTGAGGCTTGCATTGAGGCGGTGATTGGGAATCATGACAAATGTTTCTTTAAAAATATTTTAATAAATTCTTCAACTATGGTGAGGAATTAAGGTCCACTGAAACCTTAATAGCGGAATAGATGAACAACTTCACATATTGTTGAAAGATGCATTAGCAATGAATATTTTTGCAGTTTGATTGGAAAATTAGAATTAGTGAATATGTTCATTTCTTTCTGAAATATGAAAGAAGGCTTGCATCTGTATAATTTTAAAAAGAAAACCTGCCTTTTTCTTTTTAAGGGGGGGATTGAGAATACACTGTTAACTTGAAAAATTCAGAACTAGCATGAAAAAGACTTCATTGTATTATATTTGTTGCAGTGACAGACTTGAGAACCAGTTCTGACTCTGCTGCTTTGCTGACTCTAAGACACTGAGTGAGTTTCTTGGCCTCTCTGAGGCTCAGTTTTCTTATCTTGAAATAAGAATATTACTATTAATTGCAATATGTTTATTGTGAGAATTTAATGCAGATAGAATGTACAAGCATTGTCCTTGATGTGAAATTAATTAGAGGCATTGGTATTATAAGTGAATCAATCCTGGTGTTGGCATTGGCATTGGTTTATAGTGATGTTAGTGCTTATTATGGTGTTGGTTTTATACCGGTGTTGGTATTGACATTGATATTGGCATTGATAATCACTACAAGATACAGTCTGGAGGCGACTATAAGGGTGGTAGGAAAAAGGGCCCAAATTTTAGTTATCATAAAGGCTAGAACTACTAAGAAACACAGTGAGAACAATCCATCTTCAATAACCTGGAAGATGAAGACCTTTGCATGAAAGACAAATGAAATCTCCCAATGTCTGACAATAAAACTATAGCAGGTTCTTATGTGAATAAAAGTTGGCCTTCTGGGTCAGGATGGATGTGTGAACTAAAAATTAGGCATTATAATACCTGTTTGAAAGTCCTACAGTGCACGTTAAATGAGATAACATGTCTGCGGTAATGCCTGCAACATTCTAGGTTATTACTTCCTCATCAGTCCTCTCTTGCTTATGTAGATTCATCTGCTTTTTTTCTCACCTACATCTAAAGGGAAGAATGAACTGCAGCCGTGTCTTTTATGATGCTCTTACATTATTTAGAAATAAGATTTTATTCATTCTCTTAAAACTAAAAAGAGGTCACTATATATGAATAAAGAATATAACAAACTCTGAAATCAAGACAGTTTTAAAAGGTCCGTTCTATATAAAAACATGGCCTTATAATAGTTAGAATCAAGAGAAATGGCTCCTACAAAACTTCAATGTATTCTCCTTTCCTTGACTGAGATGCTGAGAAATAAAAGCATCTGTTACTTTTATTTAAAACACTTGAAAGATGTGGGGAAAATGCAGCTGCTTAAAGATAATTTCTAATTTCTATAAAAAACATGAACTAAATGTTTGATATTTTTAGACATTTGGAAAACACACTCATAGATTAGAAATTTAATGGATGTGTTAATTCTCTTGCAAAAGATGAATAGAAGGATTCTATCTATGCAGTCCTCACAAGAGAGCCAAAAAGGAAAAAATAAAGACTGAGGTCATCTATTTGGCTGAGATAGAATGACTGACAATTTTAGCAGCAATTCTGCATAATGTAAACATTTTGGCTATGAAAATGATCAGTATTATTTTTAATTTTCTGATTTTATTATATTCGTCTATTTTTTACTTTTAATAGTTTACAGTTGTTAATATGTTTTTGTATTAATTGTTCATACCTGTATCATCACCTTAATAACCTGGGCAGAGACCACATATTATATATCTTTAATTCTCTTAAGTGCTTAAAAAATAGTTGTGATCAGTACATATTTTAAAATGAACTAAATTGTGCAGATTCACTGTGTAATGACCTCGGATTAATCATTTCAATTTATTATAATTTTAACATAAGGCCTATAACTTCTATTTTAAATTTTCTTTTATTGTTTTAAAAAATCTATATCACAAATATCAATTTTACTTCAATTATGAATCAAAAGGAAAATTGGGTAACATGTGGAATGAGTTTTGTGTAAAGTTTTAAAGAAAAACAGCAATTACTTAAAGAATAAGGTTTGTTTGCTTTGCTTAAATAAGTGATAGGGTGGAATAATGTTGGGAAATACAGTAAAGATGATAAGATAGAGGATGCAGAGCATGTCTGTCTTAATGAACAGGAATATATATCTTGAGAAATAATTAAATGGTTTCTTTAGGGAATGTGGGGCCAGCTCAGAATATTAGGACAAAGAAACAAATGTTCTGTGTTAGTTATAGACTGCCATTGTTTCTAAAAAGAGTACCAAGATTAGAAGGTTCGTGGAAATGAGAATAGGTCATGTTAAAAGTATCCTTGCATCTGGTCACCTTAGTTGTAGCTATATCATGGTGGTAAAGGCTAAGAGATTTTGAAACACACTATGAAATCTTGGGCTCATGAATTTATTTTCTTGATGCTAAGAATAGTTGAGCATCAGTAACATTCAGACACTGAAGTCTGGAAAAATTTTGTTAGTAAGCTTTGTGAGATTTATGGGAACTGTCCTAGGCAAGTTGATTTTTAAGGAAAACAATTGCAAAATATTATCATAATCAATAGTTCTCTCTCTTTCCGTCTCTCTCTCTGTCTCCACCCACTGTGTGTGTGTGTGTGTGTGTGTGTGTGTGTGTCTGCATCCACAGAGAGAGAACAGAACACACACACACATTTTGTTTATTTGGAAACAATAATGAAAATACAGTAATGTGTTTTTTTAAGAATAATATATGGAGAGACAGTTTACTTCAGAAAGGCAAACTTTAAAAAATTAAGCAGTGTGAAAATTTTAATTTTAATTTACAATATCATTAATAAAACAAAAAAGGAAATCATCTGTTAATCTTAATAAATGTCAAAAAAAGCTTTTGAGAAAATTCAATCATTCATTTTCTTTTTTAAAAGCAAATTAAGAACAGGTGTAAAATTGAAAGCTTTTTTCCCTGAGTCTAGGGATGAAAAAGGATTACTATTATTACTACTTTTATTTAATATTTTACCTGATGCCCTAACCAGCATAATAAAGCAAGAAAAAAAGTTACTAGCACTGAAAGGAATGAATAAATTTATCTTTATTTGTTGAAGACCTGATTGAACAAGTAGAAAATCCAGGAAGTTCCAGATAGACTTTAAATCTAAATGTGAATGGTAAAATATTTAATTTATAAAGGAAAAATATTGAGTATGTTTAAGATAATAAATAATAATATTTTACATAGGACATAGTGGGTACTAAACCTAGAAGACTGAGAAATTGGATTTCATTAAAATTAAAAACTGTTCATCCAAAGACTCCAATAGAAGAATGAAAATGCAACCACATGCTGGGAAAAAGATATTCATAATACAAATACTCAGCGAAGGACTCATATACAGAATAAATTTTTTGAAACTCCTATAAGTGAATAATAAAAATGCAAACAATACAAAGGAAAACTAGTCACTAGAAAATGGACAATCTAAAAGCAAAATATGACCTAAAGATGTGTTTCAAAACAGAAAATATCTAAATGGCCAGCAAACAAATTAAATGTGTTTAGCCTGTTTAG